AAAAGTAGGATTAAAAACAACAAAATCGATAATAAACTGAATTAGGAAAATAAAAAATTTTAAATAAAAATTAAATTTTTAAAAATAAATTACTTCAAATAAATTCAAAATTATTTCAAAAAATATATATATGCTAAACAAAATTTGTTTAATAATTTATAAAATTTTCAAATTTTTTTTTTGTAGTAAATGAAAATACAAAAAAAAAAAAAAAATTTCTTTAAAATGAAATTTTCTTACCATCATGCAAGATTTTAGTATGACATGTTTTAGATGTTGACAAAGTTTATCATCCTTATCAGTACAGGTGCAATCAATAAATGCGCCACCTTGTTGTGTTTTTAATGTATCACTTAAAAGTTCATGACATCGTTGACTGCAATCACCATGTGCTGCTTCATTTTCACATTCCGATGTAAAGATATTATATCGTGAACTGCACTACAATTAATCAATAATTTGCAAAAAAAAAACAAAGAAAATTGAAATGATTTCATTAATAAATTAAAGAGTCAATTCTCAGGTTAACTCTCGGGAGATTTCTCGAGAATTTATCTGCTATGATTTTTTCCTTTTTAATAAATCATTTTATCATTGAATTATTTTTCCTGTATTGTTTATAAGTTGCTTTAATTTTGAATTTATAGGAACTTTTCAAATATTTTTAATTTTAAATTCCTTTTTATTAATCGCAAAAAATCGATATAATTTTCAATATATTTTTAGCATAATGCAAGCTTTTTGGATAGAATTCTCAGATTTTAGCTAAACTAAAGCAGAAAAAAAAGTGATAAAATGAAATCTTATCAGCTTTATAAATTATTAATTGATAATTAATGATTATAAATTATTAAAGAATGAGATGAAATTATGTGAATGATTTCATATCTTTCATTTAGAATGTAAATTTCTTGCTTGCTTTTTTTTTCTGGCATGATTTTTTAACAAATCGGAAGTTGCGAGAGTTACAAGAGTTGTATCGAGAGTTGTGTTGTCCTCATGATTTCATCCTATTGGGCAAATATTTGAGAGAAATATTAATATTGATGGAATAGGATTTGATTGGAATTGATTAAATTCAATTTGTTTACGTTATTATTATTTACTGGAATTTGTTTAGGATAAGAATAATTAATATTGAAAAAATAAATTTTAATTTCTAAAAAAAAATTATTAATTTTCGTCTAAAATAAGTATATATTTATTGTGACAGAGTTAGTTATTAAAATTATGAAATAAACAAAAATTGTGACAGAAATAATTTTCATTAAATTGGTTTTTTTTTTTGAAATTCAAAAAAAAGTTTTTACTTCATATGTCTGACTATTCTTGCCAAAATGATATAAAATTTATTTAGGAAATAGAAAAGAAAATTAATTTATATTTCAGTAAAATATTTGAAATTATTTTATCGTATTATCAATTCATAAAATGAATGATTATTTCTTATACAATCGTTTATTTCTTTTCCAATTTTTATCAATTTTATTGTTTATTTTTTACCCATAAATTCTTAGAATCATTTTTGGCAGATTGAAAAACTGAACATTGTCCCAATTTTATGAAATGAATATTTTCTATATGAATTTTAAACAAGCAAATAAATTTGCATAATCAATTATCACATAATTAAAATCACAAAGCACTCATATTTTTTATGGAAAAGAAAACGAAAATGTCGCAATTTTTTGAAATTAAAAGCAAAAAATAATGACAAAAATTGATTTTTTGGTTAAAATAATATTGGAGCTTTTTTTTTTCTTTCCAGATGATAAGTTGATAAGATTTCGCAGATAGCCAAATAACCAAAGGGATATCTGAGAAGTGACATTTGTGAATTTTTTTTTTTATTCATTGCCATCTGATTTAAAAACTATCTTTGTGTTTACTTTCCCTTTGTATCGATGAAAATAATATTTCATTTCTTATAGTAATATTTTAATTTTCATGAGAAATTTGTTAAAATTTCAAATTAAATAACTTTTTGTTTACAAAAAATAAAAATAAAAAATAACAAAAAAAAAATTTGAAATAACTTACCATTAAATCAGCTTCACAGGCTAATTTTGCCAAATTACAATAAACTGGTAATTTTTTTGGAATTAAATTACACAATTCTAATTCATATCTACCAGGAATACACGAAATATCAGTTCGTAGAAGGGTTCGTCCCAAACGATTTTGATATAAATTCAATACCGCATTTCGACATTGTGGTTGACAAGTATTTGTTACACTAAAAACCAATTAATTATTATTTTAGTAATAATTATTTTCTCAGTAATAGTCTTATTGGGAAATATTACATATTAATTTTAAGAAATATTATATATAAAACATTATATATTAATTTCGTAGCGCTAATTGCATTGGTCATTTGGTCATTTTTATGCATTGCAGCGCAATTCCTTCTTCACCCCATTTCAATTAGTCTGAAACTATTTGTTTTGAAGATTTTCAAAGAGGCGCAAATGTGTCCTTTTTTTGAATTTAAGCAAATTTTATGTTTTATTTCAATAGCGCCTATTATAGAAATACATTTGCGCATTTGCGCATTTGCGCAGCTAATGTTATAAAAAGCGCAAAAAAAAAAGAAAGGAAAGGAAAGAGAATTAAAAAGGAAATAAATTAATTATTGCTTATTAAATGTTATAATTAATGTATGCTTAATTATGAATTGTTTGAATGCATAGAACAGATGGGTCATCAAGAAATGTTAGAAGCATTTCTTCCTATTTCCAGCTCAATATAATAAAACCATATCGTATCCGATCTGATTCAATTCCGATCCGATCTCATCCGATCCCACCCGATCAAAACTAAAATACGATTAATTAGCTTATCAATTCAAATTCCGATCTGGTCCAATTCCGATCCGATCTCATCCGATCCCATCCGATCAAAACTAAAATATGATAAATTAGCTTATCAATTCAACTGCATTTCTTAGTTGTAGTAAATAATACGATAATATTAGTAATGTAAATTTAAATTTGTTATCATCATCTTTTTCAGTTAAAGAAATATCATTTTCTGTTCTTTTCTATATGATCTATTTTGCATTTATCTCTTTTTCTTTTTCTTTCTTCTTTTTTTTAATCCAGACAAAAAAAAAAATTGGTTATAATGTTTGTAAATTGATATTGTTACGATCGGATACGATATGATTTTATTACGGTAAGAGGTAAAAGGAAGAAATGTTTCGAACATTTCCAAATGATTTATTTATTCTTCTTGTTTATCAAAAAATAATTTTTTAATTATTGCATTTTAAAATTAAAACTAAAAGAAATGTAAAAGTAAAGTAAATGAAATAAATAAACTAATCGAAGTGAACAAATTTTTTACTACGAGAAAAAAAAAATGCAATAATTGTAACATCAGTATATAATAAATATTGATTTTAATTAGAAGAAAAAAAAAATGCGTAATTTGATTTGAGAGGAGAAGTTCAAAACTTTAGCATAAAATAATTTAACTTCAAAAAATTATTTGATGAAATAAGAAGTGACAAAAATGACAAGCATGAATTTACACTCAGAAGGCATTCAACAGGTACAATATTTGAGGGAATTGAAAAATTCGAAACTTATATGCCATTAAATTGAAATTCATTTGTATTAGTTTAAAAAGTTAATTTCAAAAAATGTTCACATCAAGTAAGATTAGAGTCTCAAATAAATGGACTAGTAGTATGGTAATATCAGAACATTATTCTGATGTCAACCATAAAAGTCGCATAATGTGAACTTTCAGGTACAGTTCAACAGGTACTTCAACAGGTACAGTATTTGAGGGAATTGAAAAATTCGGAACTTATATGCCATTAAATTGAAATTCATTTGCACTACTGAGTTATGCATTATTGTTATGAAGTATGATAAACTTAAACAAATTTAATTGGAAACTTTAGTGGAATAATTATTTTGAAAGATTTTATTTTTAGGAATGTTTTTTTTTCGAAATTATCCCGAAAAATTAAAATTATAAAATCAAAATTATACGATTGAATTTAAAAAGAGCAATGTTTATGGAGTGAAACAATCGTTTTGAAAAATTTTAATTCTTTATTTTTAGGAATATTTTTTATTTTTTTTTTTTGGAAATGTCTCAAATTCATCAAAAATTATGCGATTGAACTGATTGGATTAAAAAGAATAACTTTTATAAATAAATGATGTAGGCGAGAAAAATAGGGAAAAAAATGAAAATTACATTATTTTTAATAAAATTTAAAAGAATGTGTATGCAATTATGTTTGGCAAATAAGTAGTTGAAAAAATTGAATGAATATATTTAAGTATTCAGTTAATTAAATTTAGGTAAGGTGTAACTTAATTCAAGTAAACGATTTAACTAAATTAAACTAAACTAAATAATGCAACAAATGTTTATTTTTGTTGAATAATAAAGTAATACATTTTTGAATTTTTCAATCAATTCTTCCTCAACCATATTTTGAATTAAAATATTTGAGTATATAATTTTTTTTAATCTTTAAATTAAATTTTTGAAATGTTACATAGTCAGATAACATATGCTAATTTCAATTACTCATTTAATAGAGTTCAATTTAATGAACGAATGTGTTAGATGAATTTATTATTAATGATTGATGCATTTCGTCCTTTGCTTTTGTGATTCATTCAAAATTTGCTAATTAGCGTTAATTAATGGAGTTGACATCTTCAATGTCAATTCCCATTACTTCTCTTTTTCTCTTTCTTATTATTTTGTCCATTAAATAATTTCCTTCCCTTCCCTATTAAATAAATGATAATAATAACGAATATATTTTTACCTAACAATAGTTGTATCAGAAGTTTTTAATTCATCATTCGAAAAATGGAGGAAACAAAAAAGTCACGAAAACTTACGTACGTGAAAGATCACGTGAAAATGATACAGATTATTATACTTTCCTCTTGTATGTTTGTATATTAGATTTTAATAAAATTATAAAAGTTGAAAGATTGTAAAAAAAAAAAATTGCCACATGCAATTAATTTAATATCAAATAATTCATATTTTAAATTACGTTAATTTATTTAAGAATAGAAGAAAGCGTGTAATTTTCATTTTCTACAAATATTACCTTGTTTTTTTGTAAGAATTAAGGAGTTATCTTCCTCCTGAAAAAGTTAATTAGCTAATTTAATGATTTGATAAGCTTAATTGAAAAGTTAGTAAGAACGAAAAGAAAGGATGCAAATAAATTTAGGAATAAGAAAGGACAAAAATGGGATTGTAAAAATTGAACGATTCATTGGATTGAAATAATTAATAATCGAATTTAATAAATCATTTAATTCTGATTCAAAATCTATACTTATTTGAGGAAAAATAAGGAAATACAATTCATAAAATAAAATTTTTTAAATAATATGAAAAAGAATTATATTTAAAACAATATATTGCAAAGTTAAATGGCAATTAACTTTTCTCTTTCTCTCTCTCTCTCTCTCTCCCTCTCCCTGTTTTTATCAAAGTTCAAAAGAGAAAAGTTAAAAGAGCAATTGCTGAGTGGTCACTTAATTTGAATAACTTTAAGTTTCATTAATTATATGACACTTTAATTGATTACAAATTATAATTATCAGGAAAGAATAAAAATTGTAGACTACAAATCGAAATAATTAAATCATTTTAGGTATTAGCTTAAATCATACCATAGTATAGATGGAGGTTGTGGAATAAGAAGATAGTTATAAATCATACTAAATTAATGATTTGAAAATTGTAAACGAATAAATGAAGATAAAAAATCGTCATAGAAGAGAGAGAGAGAGAGAGAGAGAGAGAGAGAGAGAGAGAAGGAGAGAGAGTAATTTGTTAGTTTTTGAAACTTTTTAACAATAAACTTAAATTTTTCATCATTCCTAAATTTGAATAATTTTAAATATGAATAAAGTTTGTGTAGGATTTATTTGACGATATTAAGATGCATAGGTGGTGATTATCAATCAGTTGACAATCAAAAGTGACATGTTGATCTATGAAATTGCAATAAACAATTAAATGATTATACATTATTTTTACTTCAATCAATGTTTGACAATTAATTAGTTAATAATATTTGGTTAGTATGGTTAACTGATGATTGATAAAATTTATCACATTCAACAATTTAATCGATAGACCTAAAATAAAAATGTGAAAATTTTTCGTTTTTTGTTAAATTTATTTCAAAATTTTTGTTTTTTTTATTATTTTCCCACTATTTCATTCCAAAATTTTTATTTTTTTTTCTTATAACAAAAGTTTTCTTTTATTATAATCAATGATCAAATTTAATGAAATTAATAATCTAAATTTAATTTTCTTTTCACTTGAAAACTCTCAGAAAACAAAAATAAAAAAAAAGCAAATTTAATGAAATTAATAATCTACACTTAATTTCCCTTTCATTTGAAAACTTTCAAAAAATAAAAGTAGAAAAAAAATGCAAATCTGATAATGTTTACCTTTCTAGTTACGAAATTAAATCCAAGAGATCTGCGTCCTATCATCTTTAACTAATTAACAACAATACTAATTAAGCACCATAATAGATCCAATTTGTGCAATCTAACTTATCATTAATTAGGTTACACTAAAACTTTTGGAATCAATTTATCAATTATCATTTTTTAAATATGAAAATATTAATAATAAATAAATACGAAATTAAATAATTACTGAATACGAAATCAAATACGAAATCACGAAAAGTAATTACGAAATTTTTAAATAGGAAATCAAATAACTATTGACAATTTTAGTCTTACTTTTTTCTTTGCAATTTAAAATTTACACTAAAATATAAACTTTTACCTGAATTGAAATTAGCAATAAAAATTTTTTTACTATTGCTCAGTCTATCCTATCGTACCATTCCTTTCCTCATCCTGTACAATCATATTTATCTCGAGATACATTTCCTCCCAAACAAACGAACAATTCTAATATTCTTTAATAATTTTTCAAATTTATTTTTTCAATTAACCCCAAATAAATATTAATTACTGGGATTAATTAGATTTTTCCCATTTTCTCTCCTCCTCTCTCTCTCTCTCTCTTTTCTCCTTCTCTCTTATTTACTTGTCAATATTGACTATTTTTTAAAATTTTTATTTAAAATTTTGAAAATATTCTTGTTTGTTCCTTTTTCAACCCCCCTTACAAACCACTTTTATTACAATAACTAAATCAAATAGAATTGAAATGATATATTATTCATCCACTCATATTTACTCC